AAAACGCATCTACAACAAAACAACATCAACAACAGCAAAAACATTGTTCGAACTTTAAAATTGATATCTTTCAGAGAACACTACGCTCCACTTACAGTCCCTTAAATTCTACGTCACGATTTGTACTCACCTGCCGTGAACTTTTTTCGTCCACTTTATTTCCCACCAGAACAATCAATGGCTTTTTAATGCGTCCAAATCTCTCCTTTTGCGCCAATTCAATCCAGTCTGGCACATTGTCCAATGTACAACAGTTTGTCACGTCAAAACACACCAGAATGACGTGACAGTCACGCAGGTAAGATGGGATGAGACAGCGAAAGCGTTCTTGACCAGCGGTATCCCAAATTTGTAGGCGGAGCCCAAATCCATCTGAAATTTGAAAAAGATAAAATTTATTACGGAGGAAAAATATTTTGTGACGACTCCTACAAAGGTTTTTCCTCAATCATGGGAGTGAATCAAAAAAACAAAAAAACAAAAAACAAAAACAAAAACAACAACAACAACAACAACAACAACAACAACAACCAAACAAACAAACCAAAATAAATTGATGTCAAGTTGCATTTTTCATGTGCCGTTTTTAGAGGTGAATTCATCGTCACTGATAGTTTGCACTAGAATGACACGTCAGGCCATCTTTTAATTTATACGACCAAATTACCAAACCACTTAAGCTTAGATCTCAAACGATTTAATACAGAAGAAACTGCTCGCTGGATCTCAAACTATCCAAAAGATCCAGAAAAGATCTCAACAAGACAAAAGACCTCTTATTATCTTAAAGATCGAAAAAAAAATGTAACGATATTTTATAACATCTAGCAAATCTCTGAGGATGTTAAAGATCAAAAATACATTTTTCACAGCCAAAAACATCTTAAACGATCTCTGACTATCTTAAAGATTCAAAGGATCCCGTTAATGATATAAAAGGTTTAAAGATATATAGCGATCTAATTAGAAGATCTGAAAGATATCTTGAGGTAAAACTAAACATGTCTGATTAATGATCCTATAGATCGAAATGATGGCTATCTATGATAATAGTCTTGATCTTAATATCAAAAGGAAAAAAAAAACTTTGTTTAGCTGTGATGTCACCAGTAACTTGTTACATCACGCACAAATTGATTTGTGCTGTTTACGTTTGTAGCCGGCCAACTTCCCGTCCACAAAGCGGATAAAAAAAATCGTCCCACGCAATCAAGGTTGGTATGCTGTTTTCTTTTCTTAGCAACAAATTCATATCTTCAGAACGATTATTACTGACTTTTATCATCTATTTCTGCTAGATGGAAAAACTATAAGATGCAACAAAACTTCGTTCTACCGTTACATCTTAGGTGCTTTCATAATGTTCTTTCAATAACAGCTAAAAATATTTGATCCAGCAGTATCAGGTCGGTGAAGTTACTCCGCGCTAGAGACGGACTGAATGTTACCCAACTTTTTTCGTTAATCACGGGCGGTCTTTAATGAATAATTCACGATCGGGGAAAAGGTGTGTTTTTGGCCTTAAAATTCTTTTTTTCGCTGCCACGTCAGCAGTTATTTCAAACCTTATTTTAGTCTTCAATTTCTCGAGTTGAATAAACTGGGACGAAAAGGTGATAAAAATATGAAATAACTGGAAGTATAATTTCATGTCATTTGCAGACGTCACACGACGGTTGTAGATAAAGCATTTTCTTAATCATTACGAAAATTTATGCTCTTCGCTTCTAGAAAATATACACTTGCATCGCTTTTATCACCTCAAAAATGTCATTATCGTGTCCAGTCCTTCAAGAATTTTTTTTTT